GCCTCCTCATGGTTACCTGGCCCCTACGATCACGAGATAGTCAAGTAACCGAGGACAGAACTTCTTCTTCTGCACCATGGTTCCAACTCATCAGTTCATTTCAGAAAAACTTCAAGCAAGGAGTCAGCGATCCCAGGAGGAATTCTGATGTTATCTGCAAACCCAAGGTTAATAGGAAAAATGTACCGATAAAATCCACAGCTGGATCTATTCCTCAGGGAATCATCCCTCTAAACCCATCCCCACCTGGGGCACAGGTCAGAGGCCTTTGACTCTCATACTAAAGAAAGGAAAACATGACACCTGCCCAGCCCACACTGTGGGCTTATGAGCTCAGAGTAAATGCACGAAGTAGGATAAACTGGGCATGGTGGCAAATGCCTGGAATCCCAGCAGTCTAGGAGGCTGAGGCAGGAGGATCACAAGTTCAAACCCAGCCTGGGCAACTTTGCAACTTAGTGAGACCCTGACTCAAAACAAAACAAAAAGGCTGGGAGTATAGCTTAGTGAAAAGGCCCTGGGTTCAATCCCCAGTACAAAAAAAGAGAGAGAGAAAAAAAAAAAAAGAAGAAGAAGAAGAAATAGGGTAAGAGGCTGTGCATGCAGCTCAGTGGTAGAGTTCTTGAGTTCAATTCCCAGCACAGGAAGAAAATAAAATAAAAAGATGAACAGTGGCTCATCTCCCCTCCCCACCAATCTAGCTCATTTCCAGCCTAGCCCTTGGGGCTCTGTTCTGAAAGTGACTTCATTTTGGTTACCATGACTGACTTCAAATTAGTCACTTTCAGAACTGCTCCCGGAAAGATCAGGATCAAACCAGACTCTTCAGCCAGCACTTACCTGCACTTCTAGGTCTTCTAGGTCATGAAACCTGTCCCAACGATCTACATTCAGTGGGATAAGAAACCTCCACACAGACGGCCTAGTTACTCGCACCTAGACAATAACAACAGCTGGAAACCCAGCACGTGTAATGTCACGTGAAGAACGCCTGCGTCCCAACCGACTCTCTCCACCTCTTTCTCTGCCCTTCAGGCAAGGGTCTCAGTGGCTGCAGCTGCTAGCTCTGCCCTTGGTGCTGAACACAGAGTTCTATTCCGGCTTCAGGATTGGAGTCAGCAACAAAATACACAGATGAGGCCTTGGCCCACTCTGACATACAGACATGCGTTAGGCACAGAAATATCAGGATTCCTGCAAGGACGCGGGGGAGAAGCTCAGAAGAATTTCTAAACTATTGTCCTAAAATTAGGAAAAGCCTACATGAAATTAATTAGCTATTACTTCCTGTTAGGTCTCCATATACATGCATTTCTCTGAATAAAATGTTTCATTCCACTACAGGGCTATTGCACAGCTCCAGAATTTTGCCTCAAAGCTCCATGCATGACCACACTGCAACCTTGTTTACAGAGAGTCACACACACAAACTCTGCGTGCACTCCCATACTTACACACACACACACACACACACACACACACACGTATGCTTAAGGCCCTATTTAACTTAGATAGTGTGTAGAAGTTCTATCTTTTTTCTCCCCTAATACCAAACAAGAACTATTTGCAACACCTCTTGTGTCCTTGGCCTACCGCTCCCTCTTTTCCCTTGCTCCCAACAGAGGACGGCAGGTAATAGGATTCAATGCTGTCTCCATAGCGACTTGGCCACCCAGCACTATTTATAGCTGAGCCACAGCCCCTCCCCTGCCTGGTGACCACACAGTGCTAGCGGGCTGCTACTCCAGAGTTAGCAGGGCCCTAAACCGGGGTTTGCCTCTTCCTTCACAGTGTCTGCCAGGAACTAGGTTCCTTCTCTCTCATCGGCTGCTACTTTGCACTTGGTCCCCATTTTGTTTCTGGGTAGCAGCATCTCACCACCAGGTTCCTGAGCATGTCACACTTTCACTCATTTCTGGGGTCACTTTTGCTCAATGACCCCAAACAGTCTTTTTGTTCTCCCAACTGCTAGAGTCATGGGAGACACCGGTATAAAGCCGAGCAGAATGAAAAGGGAGACAGATGGAGAAATGAGATAGGATATGGATCAAAACATAATTTGTTCTATAAAAAGATTAGGTAGAAGCCAGGCGTGCTGGCACACACCTGTAATCCCAGCACTCGGGAGGCTGAGGCAGGAGGATTGCTGTGAGTTCGAGACCAGCCTGGGCTATATAGTGAGTTCCAGGTCAGTCTCAACTATACAGTGAGACCCTGTCTCAAAAAACCAAAAGATTATGTAGAAAATGTCTAAAGTGAGAGCCAAAGTACAATTTAAAGGCGCAGAGCTCTAGGCTAAACCTTGACACGGAGGAACAAGTGAGGAGCCAGGAGCCCTTGCTGGCTAAAATCTCAGCGATTGGACCCGAAGCATCTACCAATAAATTAGGCACTTGGACTTCTCTATCCTCAGGATTCCAACCCCTCTCTGCTGAGAACTATCCAATAACACTGAGGTCATTGTCATGTTCTGTATCAGATTCCTCATCTTCTTCCAGAGCTACAAGGACTCCGAGATCTCAGGACTCTCCTGGCTACAAACGGCATGTCTTTTTAGCCACAATTTATATCTCATCAACTGCCATTCCCTTCAGTTATTCAGACTGCAGAGATAAGGAGGGCTCTTCTCTCCCCTTTCCCTTCCCCACGAAGAATCTAAATCCTCTAAGATCACCTATAACTCACACTGTCTTCAAAACCAACCGGGCCACAACCTTGACACTGGTTTACTTAACACACAGCCTCCGTTCCTATCTCTATGTGGTCCAACGCATCAAACTCAAAATGCACACCTCTGAAATCCCAAATCACCACCCACATCTCAAATCCACAGACCTTGAGGTCATCTACGCTTTTTTTCAGACTACAGTGGCCTCACTACCGGATGCTTTGGATCCGTCCGTTCTTTGGGGCAGGATCTCCTAGTAAAACCACAGGAACCCGAGGGCGACATGACATCTTCGCTGACGTGAGTACCACGGAGGCTGCCGTCCCTCCTCCCCTCTCCAGGCAGTGACCTTGCAAGCTCATCAGCACAGACTGGTCCAGCATGGAGGACTGGAGTGCTGAGGACGGCGATGGGCAAGGATGGGGAAGAAGGGGAGGGAGTGGGATGCAAGAGGACGGGCTGCAAAGCAGTGGCGGGCAAGATGAGATGATGTCTGCACTCCAATCAGTCCTGAAGCATCAAATGAGACTGTGTGTGTGTGTGCGTGCGTGTGCGCGTGTAAAGAATCAGACGTGGTTCTCCATGTCTCCATACCCTAACCCCAAACACGGCGCCGCACGCACCCACGCCCGCGCGCACGCCCGTGCACACGCGCACCGCTGCAAAGCAGTGGCGGGCAAGATGAGATGATGTCTGCACTCCAATCAGTCCTGAAGCATCAAATGAGACTGTGTGTGTGTGTGCGTGCGTGTGCGCGTGTAAAGAATCAGACGTGGTTCTCCATGTCTCCATACCCTAACCCCAAACACGGCGCCGCACGCACCCACGCCCGCGCGCACGCCCGTGCACACGCGCACCCCACACCCC